ACAAGACTCTCATGAAAGTCCTTCGCGTTGAATTTTGGAGGCTGCTCCTTCGCTTCTGATTCACATCAACGAATTGTGTTCATTTGTGCTCCTGGGTCTGGGAATCGCTGCTAGGGAACGTGACGCTCTTTCATAGAGTCACAAATTCGAAATTTGGGCTCAAAATTTAAAGAGGTTCCACGGTTTTGCAGCAGGCTGTCTGCACGTCCTCACGAGTTGAGTCACTCAACTTGAGTGGATGATCCACTGTGGATCGAATTTGCTGGGCAGGGGAGAACAACAGAAATTGTGCGCACCCCGCGTGATTTCTCTTGCACATGTGTATTGAATCCGAAAACGCCCTATGGAGCATTCTTCGCGATAAGGGGCCCAGTGAAGTGTGTATCCAAGTAGGTTTTCCAGCACAGACACAACACAACTTCTTCTAACAGAAAAATCACTATACAATGAAAGGAAAAGCAAGACACGTACAGGCCTCCTGACGCGCAATCTCAAAGCCAGCCCGCCATCGGCCATCCTACAGACCTCAGGGAGGAATGGCTCAACAACAGGTCTAACATTAGACCCACATTCCATTCAATATAACAAGAGGGGACGCGCCGTGAAAGTACGCCAAATTACAATACAAAGTGAACCGAAAGCTTCTTGTTCCGGCGAGAAATAATGAGTTGAATAATATTTGTTAGCTCGATGATGTTCGGAGTCCGTAGCCCTTAGGTGGTTTGTTCAATAACCTCTTGGACGGCCTTGAGAGCATCCACTTCTCCGGTATCACGTATGTAAAACTTATTGGGTATACCAGTTGTCCTAGGATTCATAATAGTGCCCGCTACGTTATGGTCTTTGAGACCCAGGGTAGCCAGCAAAGCCGCGACACCGGCAACAGTAGGGGCCGAGATCGACGTACCACTCTTATAACCATATCATCCTCCTGGTATCTTCGAGTAGATATTAACACCGGAAGCGGCAACCTTCGTGACCGAGCCAGCATTCGAAAATTCCACCAGGAAGACTCGGTTGCGTCAGAAGTACTGGCAGTGACACAGAGCATAGATGTGGAGTCTTGCGCGTAGGAGCAAGGATAGAATGCCATATCGTCCAAGCTAGCTCGACTATTACAAGCAGCAACAAGTGCAACATGCCCAGCAGCAGCGGCGTTCTTGAAACCAGTGTTTAAGAGTCTACTTGCGTAAGTACCACCGAAGGAATGGGAGGACGCTGCAGCCCCGTGCTCAACTGCGAAGTCGAGGGCCCTCTGTGCGTCGCTGGCGTCGCCTACCCCGGTAGCGTCAATGAACTTCAATATCATCAGCTTCACATGGTGCACCGGCTCATCACTATTCGTCACTCTGCAATTTCCGATGCCATTGTTAGTCTCAGCGGCCGCGATTCCAGCAAAGTGAGTACCATGCCCATTGTCATCAGTAACATCCAGATTTAGACTTACCTAGGAATCGGGCTCACATTCAAATTCAATGCCGAGGATATCTTCGGCTTTCAACTCCTTATTTATGGATTTACTGTAACCACCTATATTGTGTTCAGTGATATGGAGGTTTGGGTGATTGCCACTGGTTTATCAAACCCGTGGCGCTTCTAAACTTTATCTCCTATATACAACATTCTAGTTATAACACCAGGTCAACCACGAAGGTCAGTAAACTAGGGTGTTGTGAAACCACTCAAATGGAGATAATCTAGAAGCCCTCCATAAAACTTAGAGAGAAAAAGAAAAAAA